TTGCCTCATCATAGTCCGATGGCATGGTGAACTGCGTGGCTGAGTACTTGGCGCGCACAGAGTCTCGATAGCGAACATGAAGATCGAGAAAATGATAGGTGGTGAAAAGGGCCGCGATGGCCATGAAACGAAAGGCAAACCGTGCCAAGAAGCCAGTTAGACCACGACGGCGAGTACCTCGAGGACTCCAATTTCGGCGCTTCATATTCAATGACATTTGCGTAATGCTTCAGTCAAGATAATCAATCGATAAAACTTGGCAGAAAGAAAGTGGGTTTTCGTTCTTCTAATAAGTGCGTACGCCAAGAGAACCGTACGCTGTCAATAGCTTGCGGCTCTCGACCCCCCTGTATAGATCTAGTCGTTTGATAAACCGAACCTACAAACAAATGGGTGTGGAGGGAGGACAAGCTGTGGTGCCGCGTCTTGTCAGCCGCTGACGGAATGCCACGTTGTCCAGCCATCCCCGTCGATGAAGCCGGCTGGCCACCCACCCTCTAGGCTTACAGGCACATTTTTGCCCGGCGGCTGAAACGTCGTTCGGGCGTGTTTCCCACTTGGATTGGCAGAAATTACATAGCTAAGAGAATGACTGGGGTGGATATGATCTTGACAGAGGTTCCGCTCACAGGGCAGACCTTGAGACACGGAGGGTCTTGGCGGATATGTGCCCCATGCTCAAGCAAGCCATCTGCTTCGCCATCACGCGCCTCTGGATTTTAAGGTATAGAGAACCACAAACTTCCCAGTTGAGGATTGGGGCCGGTAAAGTGGAATGTTGTCTCTTGTATTACCATGTGAAGTCGATCTAGGGGCTGACGGCACTTGTCGCCAATGAGCTGACTTGGGGATACAGTGATTCTGCCGAGAAGAGAGTGTAAGGTCGCGTGAGACAGGGGTAGAGAAAAACGGGAGGGACGGCGGACAAGAAATTGGTTAGGCTCTTGTCTAGGGTGGAATCAATGCAGACTTTAGGCGTACGTGGCCGAACAATGACCTCAGTCCATTGAACAGAAAGACAAATCATTCACTTGGATGCAAGCGAAGTCAGACTAAGGTGCTTTGGCTTGAGACCAAGTCGCAGATCTGATAATACACAACTAGCCCACCATCTTTTAGAAAGATGGTGGCTTGGGGGCGGTTCGCCTCTAGTTAGTTGCCGGGCAAAAGTGATGTCATGGATCCCCCGGCTTCTCCAAATTCACATTCTCTCCCCATGATTATAACTGCCCCCCTGTCAGCCACTGTTTATTTCTATTTCTAACGACATCTCGGCATCTGCCGAATCTGCCGGTGGGTCTTCGCACCCGCTTCGGGGCATTCTGGTGCTTCTGCCGGAATTACTTCATGCTGCGCATCTTCCCCCCTTGCAGTTCCCCTCCTCGCATTCCGAATCGTCGGGCTTGCCGCCAAGGCCTCTTCAAGTCCTCTCAGAATGCGAGAGTCGTCCTATTAAGTGAATTGAGCTCTTCATGCAGTTGTCAGCCTCACTACGGCGTGGCATCGAGAAATTCCCAGCGTGTTTCGACTCGGACGGAACCCGCAAAGGGGCATCCTACCCGTCGGCATTTCCGCGTCTTTCGGCAGTTACTTCAGCAAACGCGGGCAAGAATTCAAGGGAAATCAAGCAACATACTAATGATTTAACTATCTCGGAACTCAATTGCGTATTTCAATGAGGTTCAGTAGCTTAGTCACAAGATACGCCCAGTCCTGAACGCGGACTGGTCAGCCCACAGACAACGTGCTTGATGCCCACAGACACCCGCATATCAATGCCAAGAAGTTAAGACGACAGACGAGAGGTGGCAAGGCGAACTGGATTCGAGGCTGTTTGGGCTGGCATATGCAAAAGACCGGACGTAGTTCAGCTGTCCTAATAGTTCCCGTGTTACCCGATAAAAACGGGTGGTTGTGTGCTCAGTCCCACGGCCTAACTGTTACAGTCTTTCCGGCGTCATCTTCATCACATACCCGTTTTGTGTTCATGCCAGCACATTTAGCATCTGCAATCAAATGAAGGAACGGTTATCGCTGGGGATGATCGTAGGCAACAGAGCCGTTTATTTCAATTTCTGAACGGTAGGGATTGCACATGATACTGTGACAGGAAGGCTTAACTCTCTGCGACACCATCGGCGCAAGAGAGGTTATTCTTCAGTCACGGCTATCAGCCTTCAACTCTCACTCGTTCCGCCAGTTGCCGGCTGAAAAGTTGCGGATGACTCGGAAGCAGCGCACTCTCAGAGCCAACGGTTGGCTGTAAGGCGATCATGGTTGATCCATCATTATTCTAAAGTTCCCTTCTTCCTAACATCCGCCTGTTAATCAGTCGAGACGTGTCACAGAGACTTTCGACTGTATGGGGGGGGGGGGGGGGGGGTGGTGTAATCAGATATCAATTATAAGGTAGCTCGGTGGGTTACGGAAAGCCTCATTCGTTTTTTCTCTTTTCTGGAGTTTGCTACCGACCTATCTGACATAACCAATACATACAGAGTACAGTCGGAGAGTTGAACCGCTTGGATCTAGCGTCTGAACTCAAACAGCAAACCCATTCCTTGCACATTCTTCACGCATGGCCTCGGCTGTAATTACCTGCTCGACCTTGTGCCCAGCAGCCCACTTAATCAATCGCGACTGATTCAGCTGCGCAGTCGCTGCCGGCCAATCGGCCCCTCTCAATCCATTCTCTGGATCAATGGCGAATTGAAGATACAAGTCTTGCATCCGCTCGCTCACTCTCTGTTCAAAATCCGTTGACGGCCCGTCAATGTCGTGAGTGCCAAAAATCAGGGGGAGCTCAGCTGTATGATAGGCGCCTAACCATGGCAGTGGCGATATGTTGGTGAAGTTGCCGGCATAGAGGTATTGATATGTTGTCGCTCCAGCTTCAGACCGAAGCCGCACTTCCTCCAACGCGGTGCATTGCAGGTTGAGCGCGAAGCCCTGTGCGACTTTGGCGAAGTCGCTTGGCAACTCGGTTGCAGTGTTGGTGCCTGTGAAGTTGTAAGGGACCACTGCAGCCCCTTCGTTTGTGTTGGTCCCGATCAATAGGGGTATTTGGGTTGGAAACTTGGAGCCGTTTTTGCCGATTCTCTCAGTATAGTTGCTGAAGATGGTCATGTTGTCGGCGAACGCTCCAAATGCGACAGCATCATCGGCGGCGCCACCTTCTCCAATACCTGCCTGAAGGTACGTCTTGATCTTGGACGCAGGGACCTGGCGCATACACTTGAGCTCCACAGCAGCTGACAAGTGGCCACACCCAAGCCGGTCCGCAACAAATGAGAAAGTAGTATGGTTGTTTGGGTCGACCAAGACACTAGGGATAGCCACCGCGTTCCCAGAATCCGCGATGACTCCTTTGACGATCGGATCATGGGGCCAAGCGAACAAGTACCCATCTACTGAGTACGCTCCCGCGCTCTCACCCCATAGCGTGATACGACTGGGGTCGCCGCCAAAGTTGGCAATGTTGGCGTGAACCCATTCAATTGCAACGCGTTGGTCAAGGAAAGGCAGGTCAAAGTTGTTATTCGTCTCAGCTAGTCCTGCCGCGTTTGGGAGACCGAGGAGGTTGAGGCGGTATTGGACCTGAACGACAATATGTTTCTGACTTCGCTGAATCCATTTCGGCGCAAGCTGGAAGGGAACGTTGATTCCGCCGAAGCTGTACCCGCCGCCGTGAACCCAGACAATCACCGGCAAAGCCTTGCCTTTGGCTGAAGATTGAGAAGGAGAATTGTTCTTGGTCGTCTTTGCCGGGGCGAAAATTGACAACCGTAAACAGTCTTCGGTGGTATTCGAAAAGTCGTTTCGCTGGAATGCTGCAGCAGTGACTGGGCCATCCGTCACAGTACCGCGGAGGTAAGGCGCAACATACTGAAAGCAGCCAGCTGGAAGATTTGTCGCTCTGATAACTTTGTCGCCCGGGTAACTCTTCGCTCGAGGTGGCGCAAATCGGAGATCTCCAACTGGGCTTTCGGCGTAGGGAATGTCAAGAAAAGAAGCAACGTCGGGCTGCGAATCAGAGAAGTACGGAGCGAAGATGCCAGAGCTTGTGTTTACAGAGGTTTTCAGCGAGCTTTGACTAGCTTTCGGTGCTGCTGCCACCTCCCATGCAGTAAGTAGAAGTGAGAGGTAAGTTGCCGATCTCATTGTGACTCAGGACTGAGATGAGCAATCGTCGATGTCAGTAACACCTTCTAATATCTCTCATTTCACAACCAATACGCCCTTCTTATACTTCGCATTTTTGACGCCTACTCTATTTACTATCATAAAAAGTTCTTTCGCTGCCATGCACGGTTTGCGGTCGGTCATGTTGATTGTCCGCGATCCCCCCGACTGTCTCTTAACTCCGCTATGTCCACGTGCACTTCTCAATACCTAGCCGTCGAAAATCGACTCGAACTAGTTTAGTCTAGTAAGCATGCGCATAGAATAACGACAGAATCATCTTTCCTATCCAGAAGGATTGCTTTCCTGGCTTCAACGAGGGACCGCTTAATAATGAATAGTCCGTAAATCCGCAGGCTCCTTGACCAGCGGTCCCGACGCGGCAAATGACAGGATCACCCCGAAATAATTGTCAGCAGTATCGCTTACTCGGTCAACGTTTCCCTCCGCTGCACTGCTGCTAAACTTTGGGTAGCCTGTAGATGCAACTTGATAACTTCTAAGTCGTAGTTTAGGTTAAACTATGGGCTTCATGGAAGCGCGGACCTCGGGCTCCGTCCCCGCAAAGCACATGCTTGCATGGGAGGGAAATCATCCAATGTAGTCACTTTCCCTCCCTACACTTCCTTATCTATTGACGTAAGGTCGTAATCTCCAATCTGTTGGGATAGTTAGCTAGAGAAAACCAACGTTAATTCCAACGACACGGCCGGAGAAGTCGGGATTTCGTCACTGGCCTTCTAGTTCATCATCCTTAACGCCAACCACGAGCATCAGATCATCATATTTATCAACCCCAGATTCGGCAAAATTTCAAAATGACTTCCATGGGAAAGGTGTTCGCCGGCTACCACCAACGGCAGGCTGTGCTCGCGCAGAGCACCAGCCCTTATGCCAGAGGCATCGCCTGGGTGGAAGGAAGTCTGGTTCCAATCGCCGAAGCCCGCATCCCTCTGCAAGATCAGGGCTTTCTGAGGAGCGATCTTACCTACGATGTGCCCTCGGTTTGGGACGGTCGCTTCTTTCGTCTCGAGGACCACCTTGATCGACTCGACGCCAGCTGTAGCAAGCTGAGATTGAAGCTGCCTCTTTCTCGTGACCAGATCAGGAAGACTCTCATTGATATGGTGGTCAAAACGGGTATCGAAGACGCATTTGTCGAACTCATCGTCACTCGCGGTCTTCAGAGCGTCATGTTCGCACGCGCTGAAGAAGTTGCCAAGGACAATAGGCTCTATATGCTGGTCCTTCCATTCATATGGGTCATGCCGCCCTCGATCCAACCTCATGGTGGCAACGCCATCATCGCGCGGACGGTCCGAAGAGTGCCTCCAGGGGCTATAGACCCGCGCGTCAAGAACTTGCAATGGGGTGATTTCACTAGGGGCATGCTCGAGGCATCCGACCGCGGCGCAACATACCCCTTTCTCACGGATGGAGATGGCAACTTGACTGAGGGGTCAGGCTTCAACATAATCTTGATCAAAGACGGGACGCTGTACACACCCGACCGCGGGGTTCTCGAAGGCGTCACGCGCAAAAGCGTCATTGATGTAGCACGAGCCAATAATATCCCTGTTCGCGTTGAGGTCGTCCCGGTTGAGATGGCGTACCGGGCGGATGAGGTACTAATGTGTACCACAGCGGGAGGCATTATGCCGATAACGAGTTTGGATGGGAAGCCCGTAAATAATGGGCGGGTTGGCTCTATGACAAAGAAGATATGGGATGGATACTGGGCCATGCACTATGACGCAGCCTACAGTTTTGAGGTAGAGTATGGCAAAGAGCGACAATTACTGGCCAAACTTTCTTGAACATCAGAATTGTCCAGGTTTATGTAACGGCTACAATTAGTAATTCCAATTTCTGCACCTAAGAATTCTCCAGTTCAAAAGAAAAATGAAAGAAAGGAAAGAGAAATTTACGAACGAAAATTTTCCACGACAGAAATCCCCACTTGCAACAGCACTCTTTCTGTTGTATGCCTTCTCGAAAAGACGAAGTGAATCTGTCTACCCCTAACCCTGCAACCATAATTTATTTCTTAGTGTGGCAATTATGTCGTCTTAGGGCCGGGTAAGCTGTTTGAATGTCATGAAAGTTTGAAAAATGCATCTGGAAGCTTGGAGGTTCTGATCTTCTGAATTGAAAGTCGTAGACTCTGCCCTTTTAGATAGACCCTGCTGTGAAAGTTTGGGTTTGACTTGGAGCAACGGCCGTGAAAGTGTTAGGTAGAAATGCTGAGAGTTATGATTTGGGAATGTGGCAAATACCCAATATGTTACATTCCAGAAATCTCAGACATGGTCGAGTCGAAACTCTGGCCTGGCGAATGAACCGCTTCGAAGACGTCACAGTCGAAAATACATTGGCCCCTCAACTACCGGCAGAAAGGCTGCACATGCAGAACGGGAAGGAAACCTGTCTGGACCATCCATACCGATGATCGACGGTTCGCCCTTCCTCGACCAGACGGCAATCATTTCATTATGTATCACTTTGGTCGGTTTTGCGACCACTTGTCCTTCTATGGGTATCTGTCTCCCAATGCCAGCAGGCATTCTAGATCCATACAGTCATACTCCATTCCGAGGTCTATCTACAACTTCAGATCCACCTCCGCTATACGTCGTTTCCTCGGAAGTATTGGCCACCCTCTCATCCACAGGCTTCTCTCTCATCTCCGCGTCCATCTTACTCTCAACCCAAGAAGACTTCTTATCCTCCAACACCCCGACAGTGAAATGCCTCCTCTGATCCGCTTCCCTGCTGAACCACCCCAGCCGAAACCACAAACCCTTCAGCATCTCATGGAGATCGGCGGTTGAGACTCTTTCCGACTGCGACGGTACATGATCCACCGAATTCGACTCCCGCAACAAACTCGTCATCGCACCAATGCTCCCAAACCCGTCCGGCGCAAGCCCCTTCACATCCATCGCAAGCCAATCTCTCTTGACCCCATACATCCTCATCACCCTCGATAGTAGCGTCCACAAGATGCCCGAAGCGACTAGACCAAGTATTCCGATAATGACATACGTGACCGTCGCATTCTGCATCAGCCTCCGCTGGCCCCCATCAGTCACAAGAGCCTCCACAGCCGGCAGGCCCTCGGCCGGGAACGGGGTGGTCCTGGAATCTTGCCCTACTCCCAGCCGGTTTTCCAGATTCGCCAGCTGCGCACTCGCGAATCCCAAGTTCGTATGCAGCCCCTCCAGAACCGCAGCAGGTCAAAGTCGTACTTATCGTAGTTCCACTGGCCCCAGACATATGTTTGCTGCATTATAGGGCGGAGAAGATCATTGGCATCTGTAATGTTCAGTTGGCAGGGCTGGTTCATGTCGTAAAGATTGCCAGGGGATGCCAGGATGTCGGCAAAGCTAGACTTGCCGCTGTGCGCGCCTGTTTGGTTGCGGCCGAAGATGAATAGGTGGCCCAGGTTGTCCGTGTAGCCGGTAGGGCATTTCTCCTTTATGAGCATCGGGCCCTGGTACACCGTTTCGGATGTGTTTTTCGAGATTTGTTCCGTGTAGTTCATCACCGTGACGTTGAACCGGGCCTCGGGCAACCGCTGGCAGCTTGAGACCAGCTTCGCGGCGAGCACTTTGAACTGTATCGTCACCTGTCTTGTGCTATTTGCGACGGGCAGCTGTGACATATCAAGCACGGGAAATGCCATGTCGGCATATGTGTTTTCCGGGTAAGTGAAGTTAGCTTCTCCGCGACGTGCCAACAGGCTCCGAATTTTCTCGCGGTTCTGTGCGGGTGAGTCTGTGTTGTTATCGATAAAAGTATCACCGAACCAACTTTGCTGTTGCAACTGCACTTCCACGGGGCTGGTTACTGTTTCGATTGAGAAGAGAACGGTAGCAAGTGTGGCTAGGAAGCCGCAAAAGACTACCGTAAGCTGGGACATGGTAATCGTCCAAAGCCTTTGCTGCGATGATTTCCAAAGCGCACGGAGCCCGAGCATGTCCAGCATGGAGAAGTCCAGTAACCGGGAGTCGCACGGCCCCGTAGAAAGGCTGTGAAGGGTAGACAAGCCCCTTAAAACAAAGTCGCACGAGCTGATGTACAAGGAGACGCCTAGCATGATCATCGATGGGAAGGAGGTCCACAACAGGTACCAGTATCCCCTCTCGTCGACTGTTGCTAGCCCATGGTGCGCCTCCGACTGCTGCAACGTCGAACCTAGGCCAATGAGAAGACCGCAGACGAAAATCGCGAATGCAATCTGTGCCCAGGGTCTCAACACAATCGGGTTGAAGGTACCATGGCTCCAGCTCTTATCATTGCTTTCATTCGGCTCCGTTTCTCGAAGCTCGGGATGGTCGCTGAGGAAGAGGAGATGACCCAAGACGGTAGCCGGATCTCGGTGCCATAATGTGGTATACCGCCGGGATCCAATCAAAGAGAGGCCGATGATGGCGGCTATCAGAGCGGAAAGAGCAAACATAGCCCAGCAGACTTGTGGGTTGAGCGCCAGTCTATTGATGACAACAAACATGTCCGCGACCGCGTCAGACTTGTCGTTGTTATTCTGTCGAAACAGGTAGTGCCCGACAAGAGGCCCGAGCCTCCTAGTCAAACTGATGGTACAATTGTACAGCAGTTCGGTTGTGTCCGAAAAGTTGGCTCGCTCTTCGCTGAACGAGAGCTCCCCTCTGACGGGGCCGTAGTTCAGCTGGAAGGCACCAATCTGAGGGCTGAAATCCCAACCTCCAGGAGTCGTCGGAATAGCCTTTCCCAATATGCCCCAAATGTCAGCTTCGATTGGGCGCTTTTCCTGGTTCCGTAAGACCGTAAGGTTCGGGCTGATTCCGTCATCGGTAACTTCGACTTTGGATATCCAAGCGGTGGGGGAGCACAGAATGGCATCTGCCTTTACAAGTTCCACGGGCCGGGACGAGTTGACGGATGCGCCCTTCACATACTGTCCTGCGAAATAGACAAATTGATCATACTGTTGTGGCAGTTTGGCACATGGGCGGGAATTTGGTGAGAGGTTTTTACTCAGCTGCCAGGAGTCATAGACCTTCACTGGCATTATCGACGTGTCTGGCATCTGGACCGTTTCTTGGGTGAATGAGACGTTGTTCTGACAGCCCTCGAACTGCAAAGAAACGTCGACCGAGTAGAACCTGCTCATGAGCTTTTTGGCCTCCGAAGCTGACCATCTTTTCGCCTTCAGACACTCCATACTCGCGAAGAAGGCGTCAACCTCGGCCTTGACAGGCGCGCTGGTGGTACCTCTTCTGCCCGTACCCGCCAGTGCGAATGTCTGGTAGGCAGCCTCCTGGGTGACGCCGGAAGGATAAGTCATGTTGAAGTTGTGTACAGCTCGAGCGGCATAGTAAGCGATGATTGCTTCACGCCCCGTGTCGGTGTCCCAGTTGAGGCTGAAGGAGTCTGCCAGTGCGATGCTGGTGGGCTCTGCCCGCTGGACAGGTGTGAGCTGTAACAGACCAGGGGCGAGCACGATCTCGGCCCTGATCAGCAGGGAGACCACCGAGACCAGGAGGACTAGCCAGTGTTTCCGGCGGAGGGATGCGTAGAGAACGGTGGGCATCAGCATGGATGTGTAGTCCAGGTCGTAGTCGGGAGACTGGCCGCGTCTGAGGGCGATCCAAGGCATGTATCTCATGGCTTGTAACTCGACCCGTGCCCAGAAGGCAGCGACTATCGTGAGAACTGTAGAATGGGTTGGTCTCTAATGTTTCTTCCATACAAGATTCAGGACTTACCGGCTGTTGGGCCGAACCGCCACACGTAGCCGTAATCCTGTCGAGTCTTTGCTATGCCATCGTGTTGTTGAGAGTACCACAGCATTGCTGGGAGGGCAACCGAAATGCACAAGAAAATTCCGGCGAACGATGCGAGGGAATGTGGCCGGAGCCACTGGGGTCGCCATTTTGCATGAGTCTGCTCCGTCACGGTTACTCTTCCTGCGCACTTGCTGGTATTCGGCGATGATGGAGAAGTTTCCGGAGTCAGGGCGCTGTATTGTGTAGAGCTCCTGTCCGGAACCGGCTTTCGAGCGATTCTGTGTTCTGGCCGAACATCGTCGGGCAGACCCCCTGCAGAGGCCATCTTCAACAAAGCTGTCGCGCAGAGGGCATGCAGGATTCTCGAGCCAACGTCACATTTCGATGGTAGCGGGCTTTCGCCTTTTCATCTTTATCAGCCCCGGCAACATCTCTAAATCCGAGGTAGCATTCCGTCCCTCTAACAGCAACGGCCCCACGAGCAAACTGCGCTCCAACCTTGTGTTGGAAGTTGTTGGCGGTTGTTAAGATCGAGATTAAGCGCCGCCGAGGGGTGCAATTGGGGGTTTGATTGGTCGCAACCCTGCACCCCAACGGGGACGATGGCTCAAAAGACTCAAACATTTCATCAGCCCCCCGGGAACAGTGCATTAGCGAGGTACAGTTCCAACAACTTTACAAGGGTCTGTAGTCGTGATCAACGCTGTTTGTCGCCCCGGCCTGGGTATTATGCTGGGGGCCGACGGATATGATGGTGATTCAATTACAAGGGATGCAGGGTAGGAATGAGGAGTTGATAAAGCTCATGGGTCTTTTGTGAAAATATACGCTATGCTATCTAACCCGGTGCCTGGTTCCTCGGAGGTCGTTCCGAAAGTGGGGCCGGTGTCCGTCGGGCTCTCAGGCCTGCTCTACGTAGCTATTATTGTCGCTGTTGTCGTCTTCTTCGTCGTGGTCCGTCCTTGTAGTCCAGTCAGGTCCTCGAGTCGATATATGCATCAGATTAGCCTGGCGTGCAGCTCATAGTCTCACTACCTTCATACTCATAAGCTACATCGTAGGCCTCGAGGGCTTCGGGTTGGGCAGCAGAGATCATGGTGACCATTAGCCGGGTCTTGTATCACATCTCCCATAACAGAAACTCTGGGCGCCGGCCCGGGATCTTCGATTTGATCTCGATAATCTGACCATCTCTAAGTTCATGGGTCGTGTTGTTGGCGACCTTGACAAGACAGATTTTGCGGTCGTAATCCCTCTCGAGTGGGTAGTGCCGCAGGAACTCCTCGGGATCCCTAGCCAAGTTCCCGTCCCATACCAACGCCCGCGCCCTCTCCTTGCCCAGTTTCTGTCTCGTGTCAGGCAGGAAGCGGAACCGCACGCGAAGAGAGTCTGCGGTTCGCTCAAGAGGCTCAAACGCGTACTGCGCGTTGTCCCATCTGTGCCGCGGACAAAGCCTCAGCACCATGTTACCCGCACCCTCGGAACCGATGTTGTAGAGCATTTCTCTGTACTTCTCCACGGTTTGGGGTCCCCAGATCGCTTCGCGGGACATTAAATGCTCCGAGACCCCCTTCAGAGCAGACATGTCGTATGCCTGCAAGTCCAGTGCCTTGCACGCGAACAAACTGTCGGGAGAGTCGTCAAGGAACATCGTGACACGCGCGTGCATGTCCTTCCAGGTGATCTTTCCACTACGCAAGTCCCCGAGCAGCGCTTCGAGCTGGTCGATAGGGGCGAGTTGGAAGACAGCCCAGAGGTGCGGTGTGACTCGGAAACGGTCGAGGGACATGTCAGACTCGTCGATCCAAAGCTTTTCCAGGATGCTCTGGATCTCCGCCAACAAAGGCAGCCGTCGGCCGGTCTGGTCGACGAACGGACTAGGGAGCGGATCGCGTTCGACCCAATTTGGGTCGTAGTTGCGGAACCACGATTGAGGCTCCATATTGTCGTCGAGCCTTCGCCAGGTGAGCGGAGTTTCATCATCCACATAGAACTCGCACTCACACCGGGCCTCGTTCTCGGCATCCTCGTACTCTAATCTCTCTAGCAAGGCATTTACCTCCTGGAGTCGTTTCTCGCGCGTCTCGTCGTCATGTTTCGGGTGCAGAAAGTGGCGGATAAACCTCTTTGGCACAGTCAGATCGAGACCGACTGTGGTGTCTTTTTCTATCATGTGGAGGATACCTTCGGCCATCATAATGTGCTCGGCGCCCGCGAGGCGTGAGGGGCACCAAGTATCGGGGAGGTATAGCTTGGGCCACTTGATGGAGGGTTTGGATGCTTCCATGATGAGTAGCGCAGAGGGTTACGGGAGTAGATGCGGGGTTCGAAATAATTATTTCGAGACGTAACAGAGATTCCGAAGTAAACAAGACACGAAGGAAAATATATGACGGAAGGAACGTTGGGAGATATATACGGTCTTCGCCAAAGTAGTTACAAAATTTTTAATATTGAGAACCTTGCAGGCAAGCGCCGACATAAATGGTCACTGGAGGAACCAGACCTCTTCAACGCAGAACCAACAGCCTCAGAAACCTTGTGGCGAAGATTGAGTGATGCGCGCTAATATTCTTTCCATTGTGAAGTTCTTTTCTCGTGAGGGTTTTCCGGTACCCCTAATGCTCACGTGCCATGCTCCCGTGTCCCCCATCTCAACCAAAAACGGCCGTGACGCTCATATGCCGATCAAATATACGTTCTCCCCCTTATTCCGATCCAAGTCTCCAAAGGCCATCACCCAAGAAATGCGCCTCCTCGACCACAGGCCCCTTCCCCTTATCCTTGACCTCCTTCGTCCCCGCGACCAGGAACCCGACGGCGCACGCCTCCGTCTTGCCCTCGGCCATGATGACGACAGGCTCGCCCTTCTCCAGCTCCCTGCTCCAGTGCCCCTCCTCGTCGACGCCCTCGTCGCCGTCCCTCGGCTTCGGCAGCCGGCCGCCGGGGCTCGTCAGGCCAGGGGCCATGAGGGTGGCGCCCGAGAGCACGAAGCGGATGGCGCCGCGGTCGATGCGGATGGTTGGGAAGCCCTTGGGAAAGCGGTGAACGAGCTTGAGGTGGGGGATGAGGGTGCCATTGTCCTGCTGGTAGAAGAGGGGCTGTTGGTCGCAGACGTAGAGGGAGCAGCGCTCGGGCAGCTTCATCTGCTCGAGGGAGGCCTTCTTGGGCATCAACTCGTCAATGTAGGGGTTCAGCAACGGGTAGGAGCCCAGCAGCGACTGGCGCAGGGAGCGCTGGACGGAGGACTTGAGCTTCTGCTTCGGGGCGGAGGTGATACTGCGAGGGAGGGGTAATTGTTAGCTTGGGTTGGAATGGTTGGCATTTTAGGGGAAGGTGGCTGCTGTACTCTTTCTTGAACATTTTGGCGGTATTTACGGACGACGGCGATAAACAGAAGGGGGTATCACGGTAGTTCTGGACGAGGGCGATGCGGCGCGTCGTGTGGTTTTGCCCGGCGTGGTTGAGGTGAATTGATGGTGGGGTTGGTTGGAGAGCGAACATCGCAGGAAAATTGCCCCGCAGTCGGGCGGGCGGGGTAGACCTGGCGTGCAGTTTGGAGGGGCAGAGCGCTACCGAGAATTGAGGGGTGCAGGCACCGCAGCAGACGGGCATCACGTCACTTGGATTTGAAGCTCCGTCGCGACAAACGTCAAAGACAAAATTTCATAGGCAAGTTAAATGGTGTATTCATTCCAAAATAATTTCTGTACAATCATGCAAAGTCTTGCTATTCGTAACCAATCATTGCGCGCGCCTCCGAGGCCCCGGACTCGGATCTCGGAGATCGCCACATGTCGTGAATGCTGGTCTAGCCGTGGACAACGTGGGAAACGGTGCCGTCTTCCTTGACGTGCACGTTCAACCTGTCGGGCACGAAATCCTTGGTGACCATCATGCCGGGCTCGATGACACGGGACTTCTCGGGGAGATCTCTCTTGCAAAAAGTCTGAACAGGGCCGCTGTCAGTATGATGACGATATGGTAAAGGTCATGCGGCATCTTGAAAGTGACTTACAGTCTCGTTGGACTCCTCCTCGTGGAGCTTCTTTCCGACGAGCTTGTTGCTCCACTCCTGAGTCTTGGACTCGTCGGTGATGTTGTTGATGCCGGGAACGACGAGAGGCATGTTGGGTAATGTTCAAGGGGCTACCTGGGGAATCTGTAAAACGTATGGAGTCAGGTCTTTAGGGACGATGCGGGTTTTGTTGATGATGTTGAGCAGTGGGAAAGTTGCAGGTTTAATGCAATGACATTGTTGAAGAAGAGCTCAGCAAGGTTGGAGGTCTGGACTCTGAGGACTGAGCGATGACGTCGTAGTTGTGTGGGGGCGGGGGATGTCGTTTCTGGAAGGTGGTGGTTCACAGGGACTGGGCCGGCTCCTGCCCGACGGAAAGCGACGACGGCACGGTTTGAGGAAAGAAGGTACGTCAAACCTACCTGCCTACCTGGTAGCCTCATTGGATCCCTGTTTATCATCTGAATCCCTACTAAGTAGGTAGGTGGTCAAAATATCATGTGATGAAGCTATCTAGCATTGGCAGCTCGTCATTCAGTCACAGCCCGTTGTTTTGGCATTGAATGCAAGTCGACACCAGAACCCGTTTTGGATCGAAACATGCGTTGAAAGAGTCGATGAATTGTCATTGTCTCTGTGGTGAAGGGAAATGGGTCACATGGACCAAACAACGCAAAACGGTGGTGTACAAAATCGGCTAGCCAGCCATTTCTAACATCTGTACGCATATCACAGCATGTCATCCTAGACACTGGCACCACCAGCCTCAGCTGCCAGTTTCAAGACGCACGTGGCTGGGTAGAGTTCAGCACCAGCCACATCGCAGAAGGCGGTGAGATCTTGTGCCAAGATGTAACGAGTCTCCAAAGGATGCGCCAAATTGTTTTATTAAGCTTACATTGGCAGCCTGGCTGCTGTAGGTATCCGTACGTCTGTGGGAATGAGATTCATGCGCCGTTCATTTCCTTACCTAAGCTCAACGGAAAGAGCTCCGGGTGCCAAGTCGGTTGCGGTGAGAAGGACGGAACGTCGCCAGGTGCTTCTTC